CGTGCAATCTAGAAAAAGCTCCAAAAGTGGTCAACGTCAATGGCAACTGGTCGATGAAGGTGCGGACATTGTGGAGGATAAGAAGCAGCGCAAACGACGCCTTCACCGCGAGGAAATGGTGCAATTCCGACTGCGCAAGAAGCTTCAGGAGGCGGAACTTCGAACGCAGCACGCACAGCTGGAACAGGAGCTCAAGCACTCTTTAGCTCAGTATAAACTCCAATCAGCGCAAGGTTTAAACGCGTTTGAAGAGCATGGAGAAGTCTCCACGTTACAGATTCAACTCCGAGAATTAGTTGTCCAAACTGAAACGCTAAGAGCGGAGAATTCAAAACTTCGTGACGTTGTTGCCGGCCACAATAAACTGCAACAAGAGATCCACTCTGAAGCAAGCCGATTAATCAGAGACGAAGAAGACTACGCTCTAAAAGACGGAGGCTGGCGCGTATGCTTTGCCGAAGGACAACCATCATTCCATTTTCATCCGTTCACGAAAGACGAGTGCGCAGCTATCATACAGCAATATGATCGAGCTGTGACTATGACTAGATCCGACGAGTTCATAACAGTGGGGAACTTACTAGGATGGAAAGTGGAGAGAGTCCCGTTGACTCGGCATAACACTGGCAAGTGGATGGTGACGCGTACCCGGTTCTCGAAGCTGATACACTGTGCAACAGGAGCGTCGAGTTCTACTATGGAGAAGCTGGAAGCAGAGTCGTGGCCAGTCTTAACCACTCCAGAACTCTGTCCGCGTGTACATAGGGACAATTGTGTGTCGCTCAAGTTGCAGGAAGTGGACGAGGATACGGTTGTGCTTGTGTCCAACACACCACAATTCTCGCGTGGGATTCACTTGCGCCATTTGACGATGATGCACCGTAGATACAGCACAGATGAAGAAGAAAGACGTACGATTACTTATGTCATGGTGATTCCAGATTCAGAGGCAAATAAGAGAAGCCGAGAATCGGAACAATCTCGAGGAGAGGTTCTCTGGGTCTGCGAAGGTGCGGCCTATATGACGCTTTCGCAGATTGACGACTCCACTTTACGAGTCACGTACGATAATTGCACCGGATGCAAAAACGAGCTGCATGCACAGCGCCTGCTGGTGGAATGGGGTCATGAAGCAATACGCTGGGAACAGCTTGTCACCCCGTCGAGATTGCTCTCAATGTTAAAAGATCAAATAAGTCATTGATACTGAATGTATTTTTTTAACGTAATACACACCAAAAAGGATAATACCAGTATACATATGTATACATACGTATAGCCAAAAATGGCCGTAACATCGGAGCAAATCCTGTAATCAATCTTGGCGTTAATAATTCATGATGTTGACAACAGATGGGCCTCTCTAATCTGGTACATGGTACCGATGCCTCTGCTCGGTAGAGTCTACCGTTCGAAGGTACATACTTGTTGTCAGGCTGACAGAGTGTTCAGTCTTGATCGCGATCGACGTGAATAATCTCATCTAACAGAAATGGTATCAGTCACAGGCAACGTCAACGCTAACGCTGCTCCTACTGTGGATGAAAAGACTTGGGTGCAGCTTCATAACTGGGCTGACTCAACCACACAAGAATGGACCAAGCAAATCAAGGCGGTGATGACACGACAGCAGCGCTGCGAGAATATGGCGCGTCTGCGTGTCCTGAAGAAGAGCGAGTTCCTGCAGCTAAGAAAAGAACGGGAACAACTCGAATCCCAAGTCAAAAAATGCCTGGCGACTATGAATCGTGAGGGCAACACTTCGAGTGAACTGTACCGTGCAGTGCACCGCCTTGCTCTCGAGTGTGACTCTCTACGTACGAAGAACGTGGAACTTATGGAGGAGATCCAGCAACAAGAGCGATTTCAGTCTCTAGTACAAGCTCGAGCTATTGGTGTGATCCAGGATGAGACAGAAGACATCGACAGCAGCTCTCCAAACGTTTATACAGCAAGTAAATCGTCGCCTTGGGTCTCCAGTTCTGATCACGACGACGGATGGCGTGTCAAGTTTCCGAATGGAGAACCATCTTTCCACTTCCACCCGTTCACTAAAGCCGAGTACGACACTGTCATGCTAAACTGTGATAATAAGTTTAGTGCCAAGTCTGCAGTTGCTGGGCATTTGTTCGGCTGGACGGTGTATCACGCTCCACTGACGAGGAGACTGGACAACTCTCTAGTCGGCCACGCTCGACTGTCTGCTCGCGTTTGCTGCTCGTTCGATGAGGCCGATGCTGCTGTTTCTCCGTCCAAATTAAATGAGTGGCCGCTTGTGTTCACGCCACCGAACTGGAGTCACAGCCAGCGATCTGTTGTCAGTATCCAAGTGCTGCAGTCGTTTGCGATGGACGCTCACGTGCTGGTGTGCAACATTCCTGGTCCAGTTCACACCCGCTACTTCCAGTTTGCTAGACGGCAGCTGAAGGTCGAAGCCAATGGCAAACGCTCGTTCACGTGCTCTCTCGTTCTGGCTGACTCAAAAGAGAATGCAAGCAGTCGAGCAGCTGAAGAACCACAGCCAGACGTCAAGTGGATTAACGAAGGAGGCGCGCGCATGAAGTTCACAGAGGTTGATGACACCACAATCGATGTCCACTGTGACACGTGGGCTAGCTGTGAAGACGAACTGCACGCTCGCCACCTTTTCATCCGCTGGGCTCAGTTTGTTTGTCGCTGGTCTCAAGGGATGATGGCATCGAAGCTGATCGAAGGAGATGTATAACAGGAGAGTTAAGTCTTAAGGCTTACTTCTTTACTATAGTGTAGTAACCAGATACTGGCACCTTATCCCCCTTCATTCTACAGTAAACCTGTCAAGTAATCCAGAATTGTGAGGACTAGGAAATAACAAGACTAGTGGATACTTACTAGTTAGTAGCCAAAGATTGCGTGAGTCTTTATCTCGTCCAAGTTTAGTCACACTGACGATGAATAGTCCCATTTTGAATCACATTTGACAGCACTTGTTTAAAAAAAAGAATCGATTCCAGAGATACTACTGTACTAAACTCAAACAGATTCTTCTTTTGCAACTTTCTACACCGTAAACGATAGGACAAGTAATCCTAGATTACGTACACTCGGAAACATACGCGCCATGACTTCTGCGTAGCCTAAGATCGCGTGAACCCGCCTTTTAAGTACATCCAGTTTAGTCACGCTTACAAGGAGCATGACTACTTCACGTTATCGACAACACTGGATTGACAACACTTCAAAATAAACCAACTACGGATGACAAACCCGGGTCGGGAGGTTGACAAGAGCTTGAACTCTCTGAACGGCATGGATCGCAAAGGAAAACCCAAGAAACGCACCGTTACACAGCAGCAGAAGCTCATCAATCATCGAATCAACATGGTCGAGTTCCGCATCAGGAAGAAAGAACAGTTTGAGCGCTTGAAGAAAGAACACGAACGACTAGAGCGTGAGATGAAGCGTTTATTAGCAGGGTTGCAGAATGATTTTTCGCATGAATCCCTTTGGGTTTACTTTGGGGAGCAAAATATGGTCAGGTCCATGGTTGAGTTGATCGTCGAGAAGGAGAAGCTGCGGAAACAAAATGTTGCTCGTCGTACCGATGTTCAGCGTCACGACGCCTTTCGCAAGGAGGTGATGAATGCAGTTCGACTTCTGAGCAATGAGGAGAGCTTAATCCATAATGACGGAGGAATGATTGTTCCTGATAAAGAGCCCACCTTCGACTATCATCCGCTTTCCATTGAGGAAGTGAATGCCGTTCTATACCCGCTGGACAAAGAATTTATGTCAAATTTGCCTCCAGTCTCATTCATAGGGGCAATTCTTGGCTGGAATGTGTATCGAGAAGAAAGCAACCT